TATCTGATGGCGGACTTATCTGTGAGATTTTAGGGTATGTGCTTACTTGTAAATGTATTTTTAAATATAATACTGCATGATCAAGTCATCCTCCAAGACTATATGAACCCCCACTGTCTACACCGCTGCCTCAAAGCACTGATACGTACCCAACCGCACTCTGCGGATGAAGAGCCATTCACAAAACCTTGAAGTCTCAAAGGAGTCAGCTCAATAAGCTCTACTTTTTGACATTATACTTACCAACTGAATCACAATACGTAATATGCAACAGGTCTAGCCATATATATGGATCGTTTGTGTATTTCGTCTAATGCTATTGTTTTCGAAGTTCGTTGGTAATTGCTCTATTCCAAACTTTCAAAAAGAGCTGAACCATGTTGTCAAAACAACGTCCATCTGTGTAAACAATTTATGATTTCATTCTTTCTGCTTAATCAAAATATCAAATTACAGCAGCGTGTTGGATTTCTCACGGGTCAGGCAGGGCGCAGCGCTCTTGGTATGAGTGGCCTTCCAACTACAGCTCTGGCGCTTATTTGGACATTATCCGATGTAAATAAAGATGGGAAACTCAATGTTGACGAGTTCTGCATAGCAATGCATCTGATCGACATGTTTAAGGTGATTAGCATAGATTCATTCCGGTGAAACATTCTCCAAATGATTTTGATGCAGGCGGGCTATGCACTACCTGATCAGACCCCTCCTGAGTTGGTACAAATGTGTGGGATGTCGAGGTCTGCTAACAACAGCCCGCAACTAGAACCTGGTGCGCCACCAGCCCAGAAGAGTCCAGCACCAAAAACTTTCGAAGACAAGCGAATGGATAATTTTGCACGGGGGCAAGCTGAGCTCGAGCGCAGGAGACAAATACTGATGGAAGAGGTGCCCAATCTTATTTGAGTATTCGTCCCTCGCAACCATTTGCCCGTTATTGTCTGATCTTCCAACGATATTGCTATTGTAGGAAAATCGACGTCGAGCTGAAATTGAAAAACGCGAAAGGGAAGAAGCCGAGAGGAAAGAAAGGGAACGACTGGAAAAGGAGAGGCAACGAGAAATCGAGCGACAGGCTGAATTAGGTGCGGCATATTTGATTTCTAAACGATCACAATTCGTTGAGCG